CGTAGGTGTGCATGCATGTGACGTATCAAGAGACGTTCGTCTCTCGATAAACAGCGCGTTCGCACACTATCGACGAAGCTTGTGATCTCGTCGTAGAGCTCAGTGGCGAGTCCAGGCATTGCGGGCTTGTTGAAGAATGAAAGGTGAATAATCATGCAAACCATGCACCATGATCCTTAGGCTGACCAATTATAATGAAGTATGAATTGTCAGATGGCAAACAAATAGACTCCGTCAAAGTTATTATGACACTACGAACGAATACACTTTATCAATTGTCGAAGACTACAACTATTTGGATGCAAATTGACTATCATTCTTGACTTTCATTGACCACTTCATGAAGAGTGTACTCTGTTCGAAGGAATGTGATCAAGTCCATTGTATTCAGAAGAATACGCGCAGAATGAACACAGCAATTTATATGAAAAAAATCATCTATAAACACGAAAATTGTAAAAACGGTCGGTCGATGTGTTCGACCACTGTTCATTTTATCCAAATGCAGCGATGAGAAAGATCATACGATTTTATCGAGGTTTTCGAATAAATCAAGACAGTCGCCGGACAGAGGAAGTATAAAGCAATAATAGCGCAATACTTGGTGTATAGTGCTATTCATATTACCACAAATAGTATGATCTCCAATGACCTGTCGATGTTACAGACAGTTACGGGGAGGTGACAAGGCACGAGGGAGGGGAGAATATCCGCCGATATTGCAAACCATAAGTAGTGTTGCTGTAGGCGAAGGAGTGAGTGCACTTTCATGGTAGCTGACGCTAGAAGCAAAATGTCTACACTGGATCGCACGACCACATCCGAGCCACGCACGTCACACACAAGGTCAACGATACCTGATACAGTACTTGTAAAAAGAGGGTGGGAGTGTACTTTAGTAGTGGTTCATGACGCCATCATGCACCGATGCACACCCAAAGACCACGCTGAACTTAAAGCAGGACTCGACTTCAATCACCACAGGCAGCACGACGAGGTCACTCTCAACTTCCAGTGGTCCTGCGCATCACCACGGATAACACTTTACACCAGCTCTAGCGACCTCCACCTCGGCGCCCTCCAGAACCTCCACCGGGGATGGCATGTCTGCAAATGCTCTCTCCGCAATCTCTCCATGCCCTCTGCACCACCGCCATTGAATCCTCTGTCTTGCCCGTGGACACTCTTGCCGCCCTCGTGTCGTCGACACCGTACAAGCTCGTGGCCGAGAGTTCTTTGGCATTTTTGAGCCTTTGCCCCCAAACTCCTCCAGCGCTTGCCAACCTATTGGCGTTGAAGTCATGGGATCCCTGAAGGCGAGACTGCGTGCATTGTGGCATTTGGAGGGACCTGTCGTGTTTGCAGCCGAAAAGAGAAGGAAAATGGCTGAACGAACCATCAAGGTTTGGGAGACCATCAGTGTGGATGTGGCGAAGAAGTAGTTTGTGAAGGCACTTCCTCGCATGTTTCAATTGTGAAGTGGAACTGGTATTTGCATTATTATAATCTTGAATAATAATGTATGGTTGAATGTATGGTCGTCACATATACAGTGCTAGACAGTGAAGCTAGGTACACTTGTATTTTCGTCGTAAATCGCATATATGTGTCCAATCAAAACAGGGTTTAAAGCGCTTGTAGCAGCTGTCAACAAGCAACATAAAGCTGTTTTTAAATACCCTTGACTTTGGTTTCAGGCCGAGAAAACACAGAAAGATAGGTACATTGCTGGAAAATCGTCATTTCTGGTCGTTCAGATCTCCGTTGACGCTCTAAAAGACGGGTATGCTTACATAATGAACCCATCAACCACTAACTTTGCCTACAGATGCCGAAGGATGTACTTCTTACACTGGAGCAGCAAGGATCGATCTTGCCTTTTCACAAGGCCAAATGGTCGATCCGACGCATTTCCAGAGGGGTCTCAACAGCAATAGCCAGAACGAACTCAGTCTCTAGCTGCATTTAAGAATGGGGTGGCTGCAGCCATATGTCGCGCATATATGCCATAACAAACACTCTCTCCGTCCCACCATTGCGGGCGCCACCTTGAATATACCTCCATGATACTGCAAAACTTAATAGGTTCAAATCCTATTTGAAGAGTTTTATATACTACTCCGGCCCAATGAAAATGTCCACTTTCACTTTGACTCATCCGCAAAAATCGACAGATTTTTTCTAGACTACGGCAATGGTAGACATTGAAAGCCGAGAGCTTACTGATTGGACAGCTATGCTTCTTGATTGTATTCGCGCCAAAATGGCTCAAATATGGCAATTTGAAATCACCCATTTATTATACTTGATTAATGTATACTCTTTAACCGCCAAAAATGTCCACTTCATTTTGGAAAAGAGATGCTAGACGACAGAACACGCATTGCTATCGTGGCGCAGCTTGAAGAAGGGGGCTGCAAAAGGCAAACCAAAGTATGGCATTATTTCTCCCTACAAGCTCAAAAACATGGAGTGAGCCCCAAGACAATCAAGCGGCTTTGGGTTTCGAGTAGAGCCGGTGCCGTAACCAAGAAACCACGACGAAAGAAGGTCACCGCCGCGTTCTTGGAGGACTTCCAACGACGAGTAGCAGTGCTCCCGCACAGCAAACGGAGGTCGCAAAGGCAGCTGTCTGTGAACCTTGGCCTCACAAGATCCACCACTCAACGACGACAGAAAGAGGCCAAAACCAAGCAAAGAGTGATTGGTACGCGACCGGTTCTCACTCAAGAGCATATTGACGAGCGGTTGAAGCACTGTTTAGCGTATTCTTTCAAGGAGGGGCATGCAGTATACGACAGTCTTTACGATCATGTTTTCGTTGACGAAAAATGGTTCACTATGGTCAATGTCAATGGCCAGGTGTATTTGGCGCCATGGGAGGATCCCTTACCTCTTGAAGTGAAGAACAAGCGCTTTGTACCAAAAGCCATGTTTCTCGTGGCCGTAGCACGCCCAAGGCTACAGGAGTCTTCTTTGATGGCAAAATTGGGGCCTGGCCATTCTTGGAGACTGTGGAAGCGAAGAAGACAACGCGCAACCCCTTCTCACTGTTAACGTTGCAGCTACCATCGAGTCCTACAAGAAGATGTTTATTGAGTGTGTCATTCCTGCAATCAACGAACGCTTTCCCGCAGACACCAAAACGATATATGTGCAGCAAGATAATGCCTCCCCCCATCGCATTGAGCGCTTGGCCGATGTTCTGACGCTTGCATGTCAAATGGGAAATCATATTTGGAATGCAACCGGCCAACAGTCCTGACTTGAATATCCTAGATCTTGGCATGTTCACCTCAATGCAAGCGATTCACCGTACACTGGACGCTGATACTCTCGAAGAGCATGTGTAAAACGTGAAGACCGCTTTCAAAGCCGTCGCTGCAGCTACTTTGGATGACATCTTCCTGACCCTACAGAGTGTGATGCAATCAATTGTCGAGTGCAGAGGAAACAATACGTACAAGATCAAGCATATAGGCAAGAAGTTCAAGAGAAGACGCGGCGAACCCAAAGAACCGCTTGAGTGGCCACCTAATGCTCTCATCGCTGCATGCCCTCTCACCACCTTCGTTTGAGTTTTAACCAATGAATATCATGTTATTCTATTTTTGACCAATCATATTAAAAGTGGACACCTTCAGTGGGTATCGACCAAAATTGAAAGTGGACATCTTCACTGAACCGGAGTAGTAACTTAATTATTTCATAAAATAATTCAATTAAATAATTTAGTTAGGGCCGGTCTGGATGCCACCAAAAACAACATAATATCACGTTTTTCAGCACATTTTGAAAAAATGGCACAAAAAATATAAAAATGAGTGTCATCTCTGGATGCCATTTATGACAAAAATATTTCAAC